ACAAGTCTGCAGATCAAATATTAAAAGCTGCAATTTGATTGGCTCTCTCTAAATACAAACCTCTCTAAATGCACGTTTTAGGCTAGTCTGTACACGTTGTATTTATGGAGGTTTGACTGTATTTTGGAGATTTCCTATAAAAAATATATCAATACTGAAATGTTTGTCAAAAATACTTTTTTTCAAAAATAATTTAGGCGCATATTTATATGTTGATGGTTTGGATGGTTATACTAGCCGTAGTGATTATATACTAATAGGTTTCTTCTTACAGTTATTCTTATAAATTCTGGAACAACTGATGAAACTTTGATTGGTTGAATTTGATAAGTTTTTGAATTCGGTGTTATTGGAATTAGATTTTCAGCATTGCAATAGTCCAATTCAAAAACTTATTGAATTCGGCTAATCAATTTTTATCATTTGTCTCAGAATTTATAAGAACAGCTATAAAGTAAAATCTAGTGTAGTCTATTCAACTTTGTTTAAAGTTATGACAAAACAAATTTTATTACTGTATCATTTATTAAAGTCTAATATAGCTAAAACTTCAAAAATAAATATATTCGTATGATCTTTAAAAATAGCCATTAACTCTTGAATTGCATGATTTTTATTATTAACCTGTTTTTTTCAAGATAAAATAGATATAATTGGTTAAGATTTTGATTAATAAATCTAAACCAACTATTTTACTATGTTTTAACAGATAAAAAGTGATAAAGTAACTTAATTATCATTATTATTTAATAAAAATAAATCTAAATTAGAGTTAAATTTTAAAAAACTAATTCAATACCTTTTATAAGCTGGGTATTAAATAAATGATGCTTTGATATTTTAGCAATATTAACTAAAAAATAAAAATTTTTATATTAAACTCATATTTCTTCAACCCAATTTAAACTATAAGCTAAACAATGATTATATAATAGAAATATAATTTGAAAAGCTTTTAGTATATATATTGTATTATTAGTAATAAAAAAATAAGTTTTTAAATAAAATATTATAGAATTGTAGAGTTTTATAACTAATTAGATAATTGAAATACTATCTACAGTAGTAATAAACTTTGTTTTAATAAGATTTATTTTTTTGAATTATTGATAGCTTTACCAGTATTTTTATTAGATTAAAGTATATATATAAATATATACTATAATTATTTAAACTATAAATCTGATATTATTTAGCTGCCCTATTAGATACCCAAATATAGTCTGCTATACTAGTTAAGACTATTGCCTATATCAAAAAAATACACTAGGATGTAGATAATATTTTCTAAATATATGATAATTATCTAATAATAAATTATAATTTGTATAATATTATATAATCAAAACAATTTAAAATAAACATTTGTTTTAATAAAAATTGTTATTATTTTAACAATTTATATAAAAACTATTTTTGTACTTGAAATAAAAATTTTTATTGAGTAATTTTACTATAAGTTTACTAATATTAAGTCTTAATATTTGAACTAATTTTAAAGTAAATAAACTTAAATTTTATAGTATATTATATGATCAAAAAATCTCATCTATATCCTAGTTCTTTCATATCAAAAAATTATATTAAGCTAGTTAATAAAACTATAATAAGATAACTTTATTTTAAAAGAATTTTTAACTATATTCAATTAGCAATTTTTTTTCTAATCTATTCTTCTTTTTAAAACAATAAACTATTTTTAATTCTACTCTAAAATCTAATTTAATTTTATTTTACTACAATACTATTATTAAAATTCTTTTAATTATATATAAGCTTTCTTCTTCTCTTCTAATTTATTTTGTCTTTCTGATAGATGATATAGCACTTAAGAGTCTTTTCTTATTCTTTTTTTTATATTTTTTTTATTTTGTAGTTCAATATTTTTTTCTTTTTTTAAAGAGTTTATTCTAAAGGTCTTCTCTGAGAGTATTCTTTTATAGATTTTCTTTTTTTCTAATTTTCTTGAAACTATTTTTAATTTTTTTGTTTCTAAATCTTGATTAGTTTGTTTAAATCTTTTTTCTTTTTCAGATCAAAGTATTTTCTTCTTTTTTTTTCTTTTTTAGGCTTAATTTTTTTTCTAGAAACTTCTTTTGTATTTCAATATATTTTTTTTAATTTCTAAACAATTCTACTAGAATTTTTTCTACTATTTCTAATATAATATCTTTCTTTTTCTTTTTTTAATTCTTGATTTCTTCCTGCTATTATATTTTGTATTAGATTTTTGTTATTTATATTAAGATTTAGTTAACTGAATTTATTCTATCAATAGATTTTTTTTCTTTTTTTTCAATTTTTAGTATTATTTCATATATTTTCTTTGTTTGTTTAATATATAATTTTTTTTACTTTTTTATTTTTATTTCAGTGATTCTTCTTTTATTTTTTAAATCAGCAATATCTTATAATAGGATACCTTAGTTAGCTAAATCTACATTATCTATCAAAAATACCTTATGTCTATACAAATAAAGAATCTATCAATCTGTTTCATTATTGCAGTAAAAATAAAATGAATCCTAGAGTATGACCCAGAAGTGACTCATCTAAGTAATAATTTTTCTTCTTCCAGGATTCTCAACTTACTAAAGATGTGAGCTCTGGATATCAACAGATAGATTCACTAACTTTGTTAGAATCACCACTCTACAATAGAGTGCTGCTAATCTAATAATACTTTCTTGTAAAAAAGTAAAAAAAAAGAGGATTAAATGTAGTATAGCTTACCTCTTTTAAAAAATATTAAAATTAGTTATTTTATATAGTTATTTTATCATATATATTGTACCCCGTATACAAATTCGCTCGATTTAAAATCTGGCTATCCTGATTCAAAATCAGAGCAGCTGGATTTAGAATTCTTAAGCGGGCTACCCAGATTTATAATCCTGTAATTACTCAACTACATGTGTTATATGACATTTCAATTAACTTATGTATGTTCGTACATATTTAAGACATTACCATTATATGATTTATACATGATTTATCTTATTGTTTGTTATTTGTATATCTAATAAAATTGTATAAATATAAATTATATTAGCTATTAAATATAAATATTTATTTTAAATCTTTTAAGCACTACAATCTTTTATAGTTCGTTTAAATAATTTATTTTGCCGCTCTGAGTAAATTTGATTAAAATACTATAATATATATAAAATGTATAAGCATCTACTTGACTATTAAATCATAGATATAATTATCTAGTATATAATCTTTTACATACAAACATTACAGAAATTAAATCTAAAAGGTTTTGATTTTTCTGTATAATAAATTAATATTTGTTTAAAAATATATGATAGATTTGAATATTATATATGAGATTGATTTATTATAGTTATATCATCTCAAGGTTGTATATTGTTGCTAAAAGTCAATACTACAATTGCACTAAAATAATTATGAATTGAAAAGTTGATTTAATGAATAATATTGAAAATAAATAAAAACTAAATAAAGACACTACTTATCTTTTAAGCTGATTTGATGCATGTAAAAAACTTAATTAGTGCATAAAGCCGATATAGCAGTGTTTTTAAATAACAAATTACTAAATTTTTTTTACCAAGATAACTAACAATATATAAATTATCAGCCGGATTATAAATAAATTATTTGATATTTGTGCGTTTTAAGTTTGAATAACTTTTAAATGACAAAAGAATTTATTTTAAAATGTGAATAAAGAACAGCAATATGGTATACTATAATAAGTGAAAAAAAACCTTTTCTATAATAATGAAAATAGTTTTTATTAAAGATCTAAAAAATATAGTAGTATGATAATTTGTAATCGATTTACAAAATATATCTAAAAATCCAACAATATAATTAATTCTTGTAATAACCTTTCCAATTTTCAAGCCCTATTCTTGCATTTTGAATTCTTTGGATGACATCTGCTTCTACATAAAACATTTGCTTTTTTACAAAGGCATTTTGCTATAAGACAATCGTCTTTGCAGTTGCATTCTTTATTACTAGCAAGAGAATTTGATTGAAGTCTTGCAGCCTCAACAATACTAACAACTGTATTGGTTAGAGAATCAACCAGTTCTGAAAATTCTTTCAGCCTGAGTAGTAAAACTTTACCAGCTAGAAATATATTTTTTAAAATGCCAAAATGTAAATAAAAGCTTTTTTTTGCCCAAAATCAATCTTGTGCAGTTTCAATAGACGTATTTTTGGGATCTTTTAAAATACTAATAATTAGATCATAATCTTCTTGTATGATTATTGTCTTTTTTTGCTACTTAGGTTTACAGTTTGATAAAAACTCTGATACAAGTTGGTTAAAAGCAATATGAGTAAGAAAGAGAAAATCTCTATCAGTTTCCATAGTATCAAAAACTTATTATTTTGCAATATAGATAGTGAAACTAGAAAATACGTATCAATATCTCAAAGTTTGTACTATTAATTTTTTTTTATAGTTTTAAATTTATACCCAAATAAATTTCTTGAAAAATTCATATAAATATTATTTGTAGTATACTATAAAAAACCATAATAGAAATTATATCACAAGATATTTAAGTTATTTATTACCATCGCTTTTATTTAAATCCAATTACATCATTATTACACATCAGATATTAATTTAACAACATTTTTAATCTCCAATTCAAGACAAAACCTGTTTAAAGTAATTTTTTATATTACTAGTATTGTGTATCCAGTAGTACAAATATAAAGTTACTGATCAAATTAATCAAATTGTCAATCCAGATAGCTTACTTAAGAATTCTAAATCTGGCTACTCTGATTTTGAATCAAGATAGCTTGATTCTAAATTAGGCAGATTTGTATATGAGATACAACATATATATTGTAATTAGTATTTTAATTAATATTAAAAAACTAATTTAATTGACAAATCGTAATTAAAGGGTACAAAATAATCGACATTTATTAATTATAAGTGACGGGTATTTAGTAGTGAAGTTTTATAGTATTACGAATGGTGAAAGATCGTCTCATTTAAAATGTCAAAAAATAAAAAATATATAGTACAACTTGCAAACAAAGGGCAAATAAACTCAAATCTCCATTACGGACCATATGCTCGAGATTGGTGGATTCCAAATCTAAAAATTGCAAATAATAGTATTTTAAATCTTCCTTTTTGTCTTTATATAAGTGTAATAACTGTAATAAATAATCACAAATTTTTTTTATCTATTGTTAATAACCCATCAAATCCCTTGCAACCAGGCTTTTTGTGTTCAGTGAGAGAAAAATTTAGTGATGTACAAAATACACCTTCAAAAGCAATTCACTTATTATATCAGGAATTGTTTGGAGGCCAAACTGAGCATTCGGGTTTAGCAGTATTTGGGTTTTATAATGAAGAGATTATATCAGAAATACTTACTGATATTTCGTTTTTTCCATTATTCATAAAAGTTGACAAGTTTTCTATAGTAGTTTCAAAAATTGGATTTTCTTCACGCAAAGATCTTCTATACGCTGGTCCTGGTTACATATCATCTTTATTAACACGCTGTGGTTCAGAGACTTACCTTATTTTACAACAAGTTTTAAACAACTGTTGTAGTTTGCGGGTTTATAAAGGTAGAAATGAAATACACCAATATGTTCACAAATGCTAAATTCAGAAAAAAGGGTAGGGAAAAGAATTAAAGCAAATATTGTAGATTTTTTAAAACAATTTTTTTTAAATAGAAACCTAAACCCCAATGATAAAATAACAGCCAAGGAGATACATGAGGAACTGTTGAGGTTCGCACATTCTGGAATAATCGAAGAGGACCATGTGCCCAAAGTAACCACAATCCAAAACTAGATTGGTCATTATTCTAGAGAATTTAATCAACAAGGAACATCTATCGTACTTGAAACTTTTAAAGCTGCGAGTTCTCCAAATGAAGAAAACTAGTAAGTATCTGTGCTTCATCCTATTCTGAATATCAAATTTG